TCAATGTGATGAAAATATACTATATACCATAGGAGGAATGTAGAATCAGGTCAGTAAAAATATGAGACGGGCAAGTGCAAATTTTTACCGCAATGAACCGCAATTTACCGCAAATTCTATTCCGGACTCATTTGCTGAATACTCATTATTAACAGCAATGAGGCCACAGCCTGCAAAAGATGGACGATCCAAGCAACACACGGTGAACTTGGAAACAAAAAGAATGAGACATAGTCATAGTCATATACATAGTTTATAGTCAGAGACAGAGGAGTTAAGCTAAGTTTCAGAAGGCGCGATAGCATAAAAATAAAAAAAAATCGATCTTTGTAAAAAAATTATTCATTTTTTGGAACAGTTTCTTCAGAGCTAGGATTCTAAGAGTCTTTGGCTAGAAATTCAGGAATGATATTGTGCTCGGGCCAGGATCAAACGCTTTTTCGAGGAAGGAATCAAGTAGGACAATTTTAATAGAACATATGTATACGTATATTTGAAGTTAAATTTAAAAGCAGCTTATTTATTAGAAGCTACCTAGATGGTCTAACGGGTGACTCATGACATCATCAACGATGGCATCCGGCATGACGTGAAACAAATATGGAAATACGGGGAGCAGACGCTCTCAAAGAAAGCCCAGAAGATCTATCTTCAGGCGCCTCACCAGTCAGAGCCCTTGGAGGAAAAATAAGCATGTAGGTTGTCCAACAATGGAGATTCCAAGATAAAAGGTGGATCCAGATTCTGCCAATAATGGTCCTCCTATGTATCGTTTTTTTCTGGTAAGGGACACAGTGGACGTGAATTTAAACATGATTCGATCTAGGTGAGCACCGTGGATAGTTTCTCATAGTTTCTCCATTTTTGAACCATCTTTACGATTTGACCCAGAGCTTCTCGTAATTCTGCTACTTAAATCGCGCCCATATGACGGAGTCCTTGCAAGTGGCGTAATTTATCAGATAATTTTGGGAGTAAGCCATAACGAATAACAATTGGTTATATGATGAATAAAAGGTGATGATTGAGTCGTTAACTAAACAATAATGTGCTTTGATGTTGGTTGGTTGGCTTCTTTCTTTGTACTGTTGATCAAGGGAGCTCTTACTCTTGTAAGTGTTCTTCGGCCACCGATTCTCATCCTCCTGAAGCCAATCGGGACCGAACCATCAGATGCTATGCCTGGCTGGCTGGTGAGGCGTAAGACCCCTTGAAGTGCAATTGGCTGGGTTTTTTCTCAAAGGTACATGCTGCCATTGGGCTGTCATATTAAGTTATAAAATCTTGATTGATATTATATTCTGTGGTTGACACTGGCTGCGTATGCTTGCAAGGAGCCGTCTCAAAAGACGTGTAGTTGATGTGACTGTGGTTTACCGGTCTGGTGACCAAGCCATCGAGGTATTTTCCACTTCTCAATGTTTGGTAAATGATGTCAGAATTCTTCACATCGGGCTTGAAGAATTGAGGGTAACGGGCAGTCCCAATCGAGAGCAGGGTGGATCTCGTCGGATTGCCAGATGTCCTTTAGAATACTTTAACATCAGTAGTGACAGGAACTATAAGGCCTAAGGGATCGTAGAGGCGACCGACTACTGTGAAAGGAAAGTTTATTAAAGCAGGCCGGCATGTTCTTATCGAAATTTACAGATATAGAAGTTCCCGTGTGGACTCCAATAGAGTCCCAGAGTTTTAATAGTCGCCTGGAACTTTACTACATTTATTTTTTGAGCCATATGCTGGTCAGGAATTCCGAACAAGGTCTGTGGATGATCTGATGCTTATTTCCTGAGTTCCATTCCTGCCGATTTTCGTGTTGCGATGAGTTGATCACGAATTTCCAATGCTCCATGAACAGTATTGTGACCAGTTTGGACGTCGTCGACATATATTTCATCTAATAATACTGGAGTTGCTAAGGAGTACCGATGTTGTTCGTCGTGCGCGTATGGCTGTATATAGTGCTGATTCAGTGTCAAAAGTGACTGTTTTTGGGCTGTACTGGGCAATTTCGTATTGTTCATTTCTTCATAAGATGCGTTGAAATTGAACATCATCCTGGTGCATGTCAATACAGCGATACATTCGTTGGATATCTGCTGCAAACACGTAACGATGTTGCCTCCACTTCATGATGACTCCTTCTAAATCATTTTCTAGCGGTGGGCCGATGCACAATATGTCGTTAAGTGATTTTCCGTTCAAAGAGGTACATGATTAGGGATGTCGGAAATATATCAAAATATCAATATATCGATATATTTTCTCTTAAAAAAATATTATTATCGGAATATTTTTTGGGCAAAAATAGTCGATAATAATATTTTTGAGTTGGTATTTCCAATATTTTATGTTTGGTCACTCTTAAGCCAGAAATTGGCATTAAGTTATCTTATCACGCCTGGAAGTACGGTTCCATCTGAACGGTTGGCTTCTGCCATTAAATGTATTGTCTGTGACTCCCGTAGTCGAATGACAGACCAGCATATAACCGAAAGAGTTTTTTTTAAATCATTGAAGAAAGATTTGTTTTGTAATTAAGAGTAATTAAGAGCATTAAATAAGATAATTAGGTAATTAGCATTATTTAGTACATATTCCATAAATTAATTAAGTTTTAAAAAACTTTTTTTTTATATTAAGTTTTTTTTATAATTAAATTTGAATACAATGTCCTTAATAATTTTGTTATTTTTTATTTTAAATAACGTAAATAAAAGTTGCTTGAGAGTGGGTATAAATATTTGTTGTTTTTTAAATTCACTTTTTAAATAAAAAATAGCTCTTATTTGCAGTCCATGGCGGATGAAAACACATATTAAAACCTTTTTTTAAATTTACAAATAACCTTTTTTCAATTTTAGCTGACCATAAAAAATATCAAAAATACTCGATATATCGATTTTTTATGTGATATTTCTTAATATTATCGATTGATATTTTTTCACAGCAAATATCATCAATACGATATTTTTTTAAAAACCAACAACCCCATACATGATGCATCGTAGACCACCCGAACTTTGGTCGTTGTACTGTCCTCCTTTACCACGGCGGGGTGAGAGAGTGCATGATGAGAAATACTGTTGACCTCTTGGAGAGATAATTTGATGTCGAGCTTCTGCGGTAGTGACTTCGTGGTAGTGGTAGTGAGTTGATTAAGGTCAAAATTTTCCTTGATAGTGGAGTGATATTGTTTAAATGTGTCGTTTCTGTTTAGCCGACGTTCTAAGAGGTGGAATCTATTGAGTGCGATTTGGTGAAACTTTCCGATGATTTGTTCTTTGTCAAAATTAGTTTTTAACCGAAGCCAGACCAGATATTTTCCATTGTGATGTCTGGTGTAGGTGCGCTGGAAATGATCTTCACAGCATTGTTCTGCTGTTAACGTCCTCTCAGAGCTGATTTAATTGAGATCGAAGAAACCATTTACCAGTGCATCCAGATTAGTTTGATGGCATCGAATGGTTACCACATTTGTCCTTGCTGCATTGCTATGGCCAAACACGATCCAACCTAATTGAGTGAGTTGAGCAATAGGGTGATTTGAACCTCGTTTCCGTAAATATGGCAGTAACAAATATGGTATTAGATCTCCTCCAAATAACTCGTCGATGCGGCGTGGCCTCGAAAAGGTGGGATCGGCCAAGTGTAATCTCTGAAGATGCTGACAGGTGTCCACGTTGACATTGCTTCTTGGTAAATGGAGGAAGGTTTTCAAGTCTACGAAACTCAGAATGTCACTGGAGTTCCCCAAGCAATGCTCCCAGGCTTGTCTGAAGAGCAATGCTTTACAGTTATCGTAGGTAGTCTAGCGATTAAATTATGGACTAGAATGGACCTTTGCCACCTACTTTACAAAGTGGAGAGAAAGACATAGTTTAGCTTTACGGAGATGACAGGGAGTAATCTGGGTGGAATCTAAGCTCGCTGAAGATGGAGCGATAAATGGGAAAAATATATAACGTCCGTTTCCATAGATTGAACATTTTTTTTATCTTAGTCTACATATCTCAGACTATATCCTATAGATACTATATAACTGAACAATTGCAAATGGTATTCGGTATTTGATAAATATACCAACTTTGGGTTTTTGAAAATAGAAGCTTGGGTCTTTTTTAAATTATGTATTATAATAAATTGGTTTTATGATCAAATTATCCGATTTACATCGGATTATAGCTATGTGGGTATAGGATAAAGGTATATTAACTTTTACATGAATTCTTCTTTTCATTCTTGTTTTTAATCTTTTTAATAAAAGGTTATTATAAATTTGTTTTTCGGATATTTTTTTATTTTAACACGCTACGATAATCGCATCCTACCAACTGCGCCAACTGCGTATTTTAATTCCCGATTAAATAAAAAAGGTAAAATTAAGATTTAAAATTAATAATTTTATTTATTTATTTATCAAGAATGAGTTTAATAGTTCTCCTATTTGTTGGTTTTTCATTTACAAACTGATAATTTCATTTTAATATTTGTATAACTATAGCTTTGATCTGTAACAGCGGCGCTAGCAGCGTAATTAATATTTTTTATTGGTTATAATTTTATGCTGACATGCAGGTTCCCAGGATAGGCACTTGTTTATGAAATGGTTTATGTGTAAATGGTTTATGTGTGTGTTTATGTCTGGATGCCGATGATAAGGGTATAGAAAAGGTTTGTGTCTTACTAATTTGAACTGTTTCCAACTAGGCTCTGAAATGTTATTTATAAATTAATTGATAGGTTTGACCTGGTTTTTCTGTTGAACAGTGGTTTCTTTTTAATGGGAATGACAGGGCATGCCGGTTGTATGGGCTTTTAGTATTTTGGTTATTTGGCAGATATGCCACTTGCATTTAAATTCTTAATAAGAACTGCTATATATGTTTGTATGAATTTAACTTTCCCTTCTTGTTTTTTTTTATTAAAAAAATATTATATTAAATGTTAAGATACTTAGGCCTGACTTAATTTGACACCCGGAAGAATGGTATACATACTTGTCCAATATTCAGTTCTTGAGGAAACTGATTTAAAACTGCGCCATAGCTGTTTTTGTCTTCATCTATAACTGATACTATTAGTGCTATTAGCTTATGCCAGAAGTCCACACTATCCAACTTTGGTTCATGATCATCTGGGGCACGCTTTACTTCGTTAGGATCGACCTGTATTATTTAGGTTTAAAAAAACAATAAATAACTCATTAATAAATACGAAACTATGGTATATTTAAATCCGCTTCTTACAAAAAGAACATTTTTTTAAAAGGCTTATGTGCTAAGTTCTTACAAGTTCATTAAAGAAGTAAGGAATGGTTTTGTCGAATTTATCATCCATATAATTATAGATTAATGAAAATAAAAAAAAATTTGTAAATACCTCGAAACTAGATTAGGTTAGGTTGAGGCGGCGATGCGGGGGCCAGCTACTGATCTCCCGTATCCACTTGAGCCGCTGAGGCTTCTTGTGATACCGCAGAGGTAAGAAGTCAAGGAACCTTACCCCATCATATCTACTAAAGTACCCAAGGGTTTCTACCCTTCCTACGGCGGCTCGCGGTCCCACCCAGCTTTTCGGATGAAGGCAACGAGTCCGCGTGGAGCGATCTCCGCGAGGTCTGTTAGGTCCGAAAGTTTTGCTGCACCCAGGAGTTAGAGTCGACTGTGCCCAAGCGCAGGGCAGTGGCACAGGAGGTGTGCGACTGTCTCCTCTTTCTTTACATCCCTGCAGCTCCTACAGTAATCATAGTGGAGCACCGCTAGTCAAGCCGCGTGCATTCCTACTATCCAGTGTCCCGTGATGACCTTGACCGTTAGACTGCAGTCCATAATTACAGTCAGACTGCAGTCATTCATCATATGCTTCATTGATCTTCTCCTAGAGCAAATGGACCTTATTATGCGGGAGTTCTTGGAATTCTCTGGAGATTTCTCCATTTCCTCAGTGCTACAAGTTTCTAAGGGAATGCTTACTAGTTCCTTCTTCGGGAGAATAGCGGCGCAATTTCCCTCGTGGTCCCAATGTTGGCCAGTTGGATATCATGCTGTTCTGTTATTTCGTTAGGAGATCTGCGACAGTCATTCAGTTTCCTAGAGTTGGATGAAAATCCGTCAAGAGCTCTGAGTGCCATTTGACTATCTGAGAAGATCCAAATAGCTTCTTTATTGCTAGCAAGAGCTGGGGATCTAAGTGTTGATAGCTATTATTTCCGCTTGGAACACACTACAGGGGTCGGGGAGCCTAAGGACCTACCGCCTACCACCTGGCCGTTCAACTTTGAACTCTCTGTGTATACATGAAGGGAATCCGCTGGTGTGGCCCATTCCCCGATGGAAGGGTGACCTTATAGTTTGTTGTGGGATGATCAAGGGTAAACAGTAGTCTGTCCTTTTCCAGAAACCCGCCTCGCGTATCCTTATTGCCGATAGTGTGGCTATCTTGACAGGCAATAGATCAAGTATGAAGTCTAGGGCGTCAGTTGGTGTGGCACGGAGACTGCCTGTAATGCAGACCTCCGCCATCCTTTGCGTTTTCTTAAACCTCTCTACATATAAGGTTTGTTAAAGCAGGCCATCTGCATCTGCTTTTTTTTCTATACAGCCATCTTACTATTTTTTGAGACATACCCCATTTGAGTCCAATGGCCTTGCGTGAAGTATAGAGCGCGAAGTGGTCCAGCTACTATCCAAGGTTTTAATGTAACCTACATCCTACGCATCCTACCTCGAAACTAGCAACGTGAAAAAAAGCCAGCAGTGAAACAGAAATATAATTTCTATAATAACTTTAGAGGGAAGTGAAAGTAGGAGCATAAAAGTGGGAGTTTGTTGGTGAGAGAATCGTGCTTCTGCAATAACCGATTCCTATCGTGCGCTGGGTATAAAATTATTTAGGTTATAAAAAAAATATATTTAATAAAAATATCACTTTTGTATGTGTTGTTTAATAAAAAATCCAAACTTTTTATACATGATTTGTCGTATTATTTATCGAAACCAAAAGCGCGTTTGGGAAATGCGAAGTCACATATGTACATGTGTAGCAATCAGCATAGGAAAAGGCCAATTGCAATAAACATTTTGCGTGTTTTCACTATTTTCCTCTATTGTGATAATCCAAATGCATTTTGCTATTGAATTTCCGAAAACTTTTCACTCCAAGAAACACAGTTTTGTTTTGGTTTCTGCCAGAACGGTCGACTTGAATTTCTTTTTCGCAGAATATAAATTAAGTAAGAAGCTATGCATTATTTGTCATGATAATAGTCTGTTGTAAAAAATGCAGAGCCTTTTTTTAATTACTAATTAATTAAAAAATTTTAAATTAAAAATTTTTCGTAAAATGTTTTTTTTTATCCTATTTTGATTGTTTATATAACTTTTTTCAATTTTGATTGTTAATCGTAATTGTTACATATGGCCTATTCCTGGGGTCGCGAACGTTCGTACGCAATTAGTGCCAGAAAGTTAAAGAAAATAACATTTTCTGATACTTTTTTTTGTTTCCGATAGCATTTGCTGAGTTCTTTTCTTAGAGTTAATTATGGTTCTGATGGATTTTTCATTTCCACAATATGGGCAAAAAACATGAGGTCGCGAACGTACGCGAAATGGAAGTCGGTTTTGGCTTACTCTAGCAAAATAAATTTATATTTTCTTAAAAAATCATGTTTCACCGAATTTTTTTTTTTTTTTTATGGAAAATTAAATTTTAATTTTATTTTAAATTTAATTTTAATTTAAATTTTATTTAATTTTAATTGTCACTTCTTTTATCCATCTACAAATATTTATAAACTTGTAAAAAAAATTTTTTTTTTTAAATAATATTATTTTTATACATACGGTCGCGAACGTACGCCACTTTAAAATTCAATATAAAAATAATTTCTTGAAAAAGTCGGGATTTTTTTTAAATTTCAGTAGTTTACACTAAAATGACTTAACACATAAAGTTTCATTCACCTGCTTTTACTTAATGCGAAACAATTACAATAAAATTATGTTTTGGGTCGCGAACGTACGATTAGAACATAGTTAAGAATCAAAATAGAAATTATGAGGTAATTGCACATTTTTTTGCTCTTCTTGATTTTTTCTCTTCTTATTAGATTGTTATTAAGAGATTTAGTACAAAAAGAGCGAACACATCATATGTTTTCCTTGAGAAATAAATAAACATAAAAATGTCTTTAAAAGTAAAAAAAAGGTGAAAATTACATTTTTGACTTTTCGGGCTTTTCTTAAAAAAAAAAGCTAGATATGCTACAAATCCAAAAGATTATAAAAATTTGGAAATTTGGAAAAAGTATGAAAATTATTTATTAATAAAAATACAAAAAAAGAATCGAGGAATATGGACATTTGTTTTTTCGGTCCTGGTTGACCATCTGCCGGAATAGCCCATATGTGAATTACAAAAATTTTAAATTAAAAATTTTTGGTAAAATGTTTTTTTTTATCCAATTTTGATTGTTAATATAACTTTTTTCTCAGCGTACCGACATGAGTTGCCAAAAAATTTTTGTATCTTAGACCCTATAAAGCATATACATATATTCTTCCTGAGTTGATATAAGCATGTCCGTCTGTCTGTCCAACCGGCCAACTATATCCATGTTTGCGATATATGTATATCCGGTTTTACCTGCAAGGGTATATAAACTTCTGCTCCGCCCGAAGTTAGCTTTCCTCTCTTGTTTTTTCTTATTTTAGATTACTGCGTATTTGCGTATTAATTTGTAATGAATGGCCTTAAAGGTCATTTTGAAAAAAAGAAATAAATTTTACTGAGACTTATATGAAACATATATCGGCACATAGGTCTTTGTCCAAGTGTATGTCGCAGATTGTTATATTCTGAATCTATAGCAGTTCGTATTTTTCGGCACTTTTCCGCACTAATGGAACAATATTCATTTATACCACGCCACCTCGAGGTTTTCAGAGTTTACCCCCAGCATTCGTGATGTAAAGATGTGTGTTCGATAATTACTTCAAGAAAACCGGCTTAGGCCCCGCTACTGCTTATGTGTGCAACATACGAATACTATTTCTGGCCAACGGCGATAAGGGAGATTAAAAGCTTTCAACAATCCCAATTCCGCGCCCGTCTTTCGGTCTACCTTGCAGGTATGCCCAAACAACAACGATCCATGGTGACAACTAGCAGAAACTCTACTACGAGTGTTACCTGCATCATTACAATGGACCATTAAAATATACTTTGGTTGTACTTCCACTAACACCGTGGGTGCGATTGCAGCCAGCCGCATTCGCTAGACCATGACTGCGCTGCCAAATTTTATAACATCGTAAACACAAAACAAGTAATTCTAAATATCTGTTCCACCCACCTGGAGAAAACGTCAGTCGAAAACGCAAAGACGAGGCCTTCAGAGGGCCACGATCTCAGTCTGCCCCCGATCAGCAAAACTAAGTTGAAGGTCACAACGCCGCTCAACAAGCAGGAAAATTTTTCTTTCGCAAAAACATGAAATATTACTTGATTCGTGATTCTGTTGAAACAGAAAAAATGGAACAAAATCTGGAAGATGTTGACTCTATTAAAGGCCATACACCTGTATTGAGGAAAGAGATCAATCTGCAAAACCTAACAAAATCCCCTCTTTTTAGACAAATGTCCTGATCGCGAAGATCAAGTAAAAGATAGCCTTGGCTCCTCAAACTAAGCATTCGCTCTTCAAAATTTAGTGTTTCCAGAATATATACAGCCAATTCTGAAGTTTTCGGCTGTAAAAACACTGACAACTGCCAATTTTGGCCCTACAAGGTTACAGTAGATAAGGCTTACAGGGTAGTTCTCAAAGGAATCCATTCAAATGTACAGAAATCACAGATAGAACAGGGATTTGCTGACAACGGCTGTGAGGTCTTTAACATATAAGGACTGATTGGAAGAACTTTCAGGGTAACGAGGATGATAACAAAACACAATAAATTATAAAACTAGAAAAAATTAGTTTTATGTCAGCCTTAGGCAGGGTGAAAACGTTGCTGAGTCCCTATAAATAGCACAACTTGGAAGATACAGAGTAACTGTCGAGCTTTCCTTAGAAACGAATTACTTCACTGTCAAAGGAGACATCATTTTGGGCACTCTAAAAACTACTGTGATCTGGACAATGTTTGTGGTAAATTTTGTG